GGACTGAGCCCTCTTCCAACTGACTAGAAGACACAGGCCTTCTCCGGAGAGGACAGCAGTGCACCTCACAGGAAGAGGCAGGAAGCGTGGCTTGAAAAACTGGTTTCTAGGTCCATTTCAGGGCCCAAGGTCAGAGGAGGGAGCTCCAACAAGGACAGGTGCACTCCTCTTTCCTTCTACAAAAGAGGAAACCAAAACCAAGGCAGCTATGTAGTCTTCTCCATGCTGAACTACACCTTAGGGACAGAGTCCGCATTCGAGCCCGGAGCCCTGAGCTAAATCCGGGGTCGCTTTAGAGCCTGGCTACTCGGAGGGTAGTCCTTGGACCAGCAGTCCCCGCGTCACATCAGAACTTGTGAGAATAATGCAGGATCTCAGGCCCCACTGGAAACTCACTGAATCCGGCTCAGCATTTTAACACATCCCCCTGAACGGCCGCTACGCGTGTCGCAGTGTGTCAGAGATTTCCCAGGAAGCTGCATTAACATATTCCTATTTCCCCAAGTTCTACACATTTCACTGTAGAGAAATGCAGACAATACAGGAAAATTGAAGGCGGAAAGCAATGAACACTGTGGTGTATAAATATCCTACTGAGTATTTTCCGTGCACGCACACACACGTTTTCATAAAAAGCAGATCGTATCCTCCACACTACCCTGTATCTTTTGCTTTTTACTTAAGATTCTTAAGTATGATTTCTGTTCCGAAAGAGTGGCTGTTCGAGAAATAGCTGCTAAATGAAAAAATTGCCTTAAACAATAGTCAGGGGTGTGTTTGTTATCTAGTGCTGCGTTCAAAATGACTCCCAAACTTAGCAGTTTAAACCAACAAATATGTATCATCTGACAGTGTTTCCCAGACTCAGAATCTGGTGGGTAACTGGGGCTCAGAGTCTCTCACAACATCGCCGTCATCGTGTTGACCAGGTACAGCCACCTGAAGGCTATGATGCCTGGTCTAAGCCAGCAAGGCCACTTGCCTGACCTCATACGGTTGCCATTTTGTCCTTACAGGGTTCCCTGCATCTACCCGACACCGCTCTCAACCATCCATTCATTTACCAGCCAGGGTGAGCTTGAAAAAAGGCAAATCCAGCCTTGCTGAAAATCCACCCAGGGCTTCTCATGGCTCTTAGAATAGAGTATAAAAAATAAAACAAAGGTCTACAGGGCCCCGGGGGTCTGGCCCCTGATGAAGGCCCCCTCTGTCCCCTCTTGGCTTTATCCCTTCCATGTGTATGGTCCAGCCCCTCCTGTGTGCCAAACTCCGTCCCATCTGGACTTCCTCCGACTGGGACTCCCTCCACACACCCCCACCACACACACATTTACAGAGATGCGTGCGCACACACAAGACAACTTCACAACTGTGCTCCGGCCTTAGTTCTGTGTCCCGATGCCCAGCGAGCGGTAGGCGCTCAATAAATATTTGCTGAACGCACTATCTTTGTGGCAAATGCTTTCCCCGGGTTGTGGTTTGCCTTTAACTCATTGTTTCTTTAACCTTCCGAAGTTTAACATCTGATGTAGTCAAATCGGTCCGTCTTTCTTTTGGGATTTCTCTGTTGCTTTGTGCACAGAACATTCCAGAGTTTTGTCAGAAGGGCAGATGCCTGAACAAGGGCCCACGTTTGAGGAATTCAGATTAGAAGGAACAGGAAGCTGACCCCCTTGATGGAAACTGACAGAGGGAGCTACGTCGGGTGGGCCAGACCAAGTTCATGACCGCACCGGCGGGGTTAAGCATGTCCTGTGCACGGTGTTCTTGGCCCACCATGTCTTTGTGGTGCCCACCAAGTCCCTCCCTAATGGGCTGGGAAAGTGTTAACACCCCAGGACATGTCCAGGGAAAGCAGATCACAGCCTAGCATTTGCTGGGCATTGACTTGTAAAGTAAGAATAGGAAGGACTGAGGAGTCGTCCACTAGGGACAGGCTCTGAGTGTGCGTGCACGTGTGTGTGCGCATGTGTTCACAGGCAGAAATGCGTCTAGGAGAGGTTTCAGACAGAGAACGGTATCTGTGAAGAGCCCAAGTTGGTTTGTGCTCAGATGGTCTTCATTAGGTCCCCAAAGCGACTGCAATCACCTGCTGTCTCATCCAAAACCCGCCAATGGGACAGGGAGAGGGTGTTACTGGTCAAGAAGTACGGCCGTGTTCTTCAGGGCCTCGGTTTCCACAGAGGACAGGACCACCCAGCTCCGGTCCCACCCTGCTTCTCCACACCCCTGATGAAAATCATGGGCAAAAAGATCAGTGCAACACAGCAATTGTCCGCGGGAAGCCCTTGTCCATCCCCGGCTCCTGGCTGGCTGTCTCATCCTTGGCCGTGAGAAGGGGCTGCCTTCCAGTGTCCAGAAAAACACCTGTAAACCGCAGCCATCTGGGGACAAGGGGCAGCATTTAACCTAATGGGGTGGGAATGTCAATAAAGGTGCAGCTCAGGCCTGCCCAGCCCTCAGCCCCAGGCGACATGGGGAGGGGAGTCTCTGGCACTGCCTGTTGGGGACCAGTCAGAATAGAATGGTGACCTTATGACTCACAGTTGTTGGCAGAAGCCGGGGCTTGTGCTTTCCGTACTAAAACCTTAGGGAAGTAGGTGTGACCCTTATCCCTACCTTACAGATAAGACCCAGAGGCTCAAAGAGGTTCTGTGATTTGTCCAAGGTCATTCAGGAAGATCGGGACCCAGGTTGCCTGGCTCTAGAGCCCATGAGGGGAACCCGGGTGCCCTGTGCTCTCCCAGAACCTTGTGGAGGGAAGGTGCCCATGGGCTGGGGCTGGGCACACACGAGGGAGGACCAGGACCTCAGTGTTTGGCACCTGGAGTAGGAGCCTGATGCTGGGGGAGGGACTTCGATTCCAAAAGGGAAGAGCTTCTTGGGGACGTAGGGATGCTATTCAGACATTTCTTTGAAGACAAGTACCTCCTCGAAGCGCCTGGGTGACTCGGTCGGTTAAGTTTCGGCACAGGTCATGGTCGCGGAGTCCCTGGGCTCGAGCCCCACGTCGGACGCCACACTGACAGCTCAGAGCCTGGCGTCTGCTTCGGATTCTGTGTCTCCCTCTCTCTCTGCCCCTCCCTCGCTCGCGATCTGTCTCTCTCTCCGAAATAAATAAACATTAAAAATTGTTTTGAGAAAGAAAAGACAGTAGTCCTCTGCCCCATCGCAGAGCTGGAAGATTATTTTAGTAGAAGCAGAACTGTGTGGGCCCCCAACGGCTGGCAGGGAGCCGGCTAAGCCAGGTATGGACAGAGCTGGGAAACACTGAAACCGCACTTGTTAGAACATCGCGTTACCCGCAAGGAAGGCTGGTGGGGTTTGGGCTGCGCGACAGCTGGAGGCAGGAGGCCACCCCCCCAGGGGGACACAGGACAAGGCGCCAATCCAGGCTGTGAGAGGCACAAGGCCGCTGATGGAGAACAGAGAGGGGCTGCCTCCTCTTGGAGCGGGACCCCTGCTGCCTGCCTGGAGGAGGGGGGCCCTGCAGTGAGGGCTGGCGGCAAGTGGGGAACACAGAGGGGTGACGCAGCTTGAAGGGAGAGACCTGGGAGGGCGGCCAGCACCCCAGACCCGCTCTCTGGTGCTCCACCCCTCCCCATTCCAGAAAGCCTGTCGAAATGGCCCCTCACTGAGAAGTGCAAAAGAGAGTGCGACTCCAGAAAGAGCGTGTGTGTCTGTGTGTCTGTGCGTCTGTGTGTGTCTATAAACTTCCCCACTTCCAAGCTGGAACCGAGACTTACCCGGCAGAGAACGTCATCTTGGGGAAGGAGAAAGACCGCCCAGAAACAGGTGGAGTCGTTTCTCAGAGCTCCGCAGAGGACTTGTTTGTCCAAGGCTCTGGTATCTTTCAAAGATAAATAATGGAATTATGGAAACTGAAAATGTGTGCTTGCGCAACCTTTGAGAGGATCGGAGCGTGTGAGCCCGGGGTCTGCGTCAGCTGAAGCTTGTGCCTAGATAGCTGGCTTTAAGGGTGATAAAAACCGGGGCTTACGTCATTTGTTTCTGTGCGTTGAATGGTTTTCTTTGCAGAAAACCGCCATGTGCTGTGAGCGTTCATTGGAAGGGATTAGAGATATGCCCTTGTATTAATAGATTTGTTTTGCTTTCATTGATAGATTTCATTCTTTGAGAACAGTTTTAGGTTTACAGAAATATTCAACGGCAAGTGTAGAGTTCCCACATACCTCCCTTCCCCCCCACACCCAGTTTCCCCTATTATTAATATCTCGCATTACTGTGGTATGTTTGTCATAGCTGAGCCGACACTGATGCATTATTATTAACTAAAGTCCACATTTACATTAGAGATCGCTCTGAGTATCGTACGTCCCGTGAGTTTTGGCAAACGCGTAGTGACCTCAATCCACCATCACGGTGTCAGACAGAATAATTTTACTGCCCTAAAATTCCCCTGTGCTGCCCCTATTACCAATAGATTGCTTGAAGGAAGATTTTAGATTTAAGTGATTCCCCCCCTCCCACTTTCTTCTAGAAAGTAGAGGTTATATTGTGTCCCTTTCCTCCTCACGTCCACCCCCTCTCCATTCCAGAAAGCTGGACCCAATGGTTGGTGCTGACAACCCCAGAAGAGGTGGCCAGGACATGCGAGTGCAGGGTGGCCATGCGTCAGGCCCCCGAGGAATTGAGGGGACGGTCACACGATCGTCTCCCAACGTTGTAGTGGGACGTACTTACCCACAGTCCCAGCTCAGAAGCGCCCAGACAGATTCCATTCCGTTCGTCCACCTGCCGGTGGTCGCTTCTGGTTGGTCTGGTCGCTCTGTCTCTCTCTGTCTCAAAAATAAATAAACGTTTAAAAAAAATTTGTTTTTATTTTTTTTAATGTTTTTATTTATTTTTGAGACAGAGCGTGAGCAGGGGAGGAGCAGAGAGAGAGGGAGACACAGAATCCGAAGCCGGCTCCAGGCTCTGAGCCGTCAGCACAGAGCCCGACGCGGGGCTCGAACCCACGGACACTGCGATCGTGCCCTGAGCCGAAGTCGGACACCCAACCGACTGGGCCACCCAGGCGCCCCCCCCCCCCCCGGTTGTCCTTTCTCCAGCCCCTTCAAGTCACAAATCGGTGTCACGTTAGTCACTGAACATCTAATTCCGCAAAATAGTGGAAGTCATCCATCTTCCTTTTGAGGAGATTGCTCTCCAAGCTGGGGCCCAGACGTAGAGAGAGCTGTGACTGGACAGAGGCCGGCCACCAGTTTCTGCTGGCTTCGGGCAGGGACTTCCGGCCCAGTGGCTGGGAGCGCCGTCATTTCTCTCAGCGGCTGCTTCCCCAGCAGCCCGTCCCCACATCCAGTGACTGGCCACAGGCCCACTGGGAGACGTCACATGTCACCTGGCCCCTCTGTGCACTCCTGCTCCTGCCCTTCCTTTATTCAGGCATCCTTCCCTCATAAACTGCCCTGAGAAATGTCCTGCAGGCCAAACTCCCCCACAGCGTCTGCTTTCAGAGAAGCCAGCCTGAGAAGCCCTTCCAGCCTCCCCCTTTCTGCTGGCAGAAGTTTCGGACTGTCCAGGGCCGGCACTCAAGGAGCAAAGCTGCCGTCACGCTGATCCAGCCTCTGCGCTCTCCGGAACTGGGATGTATCTCAGGACAACCCCCTGGCTGGTACTTAGCATGGGTTTGCAGGGGTGAGGCTCTACCCTCTCCCCATCTAGAAGAATCTCCCGTATTTGCTGATGAGACAAAGCTCAGCTTACTGCTCACTGTGGTTGGTCGTCATAAGCAGGTCACCGCCTTGCAAAGCCCAGTAGTGTCTCAGAGAAGGAAAGCTAAGGTCGGGAGGTACCGAGAATAGTAAGCTTGGGACAAGTCAGGCCTGGGGGGTGCTAGATTAAGACTGGGTAAGAATCGTGATACAACAGACCAGGATTGGTGGGGGCGGCCAGGCTAGGATTTTGAGCCATGGAATCGTAGGCCACAAAGGTTGATGCTTCCCATTGGAGAGCTGGTCAGTTTTTCTGGAAGCCCCTCTACCAAATCAACTATTTGCTTGGGCAAGACAATCCCAGGAGATCAGAGAAACGCCAATGAAGGCAGTGGCCAGCCATGTCCTGTTAATGGGGATGATGAGGCATGCTTTCCCTTCTTGGCGTCCGGGCTGAGTGTGGAGGAGAGAGTTTTGGGTTACGATTAGCTCCCTCAACAAGCCAAATGCATCGCAAGCCCCAGCCCTGGGCCTCTGGCTCTACCTCTAGCTTCTCTCTGCCAAGATGTGTTTGCCACTCTTGGACTGGACTGCAGTGACCCCTCACGAGCGCTTTCATCCGATCCACGGGAAGCACTCACCCTTCCTTTCCCCCAGCAAACCCTAGAAGCACGGGCCCTGCAAGCCACACCTCTTCTCAGGCCCAACCTTTATGTCCCCCATCCAGGAGCCCATCCATGCCCTGGGCTCTGAATGCCAACGGACACATACTGAAAATTCAAAGCAGTTGGCCTCTAAGCTTAGGGTAAGAGGCAGGCACCCCTACCTACCACCTTCATGGGGGTGGGGAGAGGGGCACTCGTGGCGTACCAAAGCTTTCTGGAACATGCCTTTCTCACCCAGCTTCCAACCCTTCCATATCTACCCTTAGGAATCATGCCGCCATGTTGGTATCTTGGCCGAACACCTAACTCTGAAGCGAAGTATCTGTTAACTCCATGCTTCAACCAGAACTCTCTCTCAATATCCTTTCAATGGCATCAGGACCTCATGCCTAAGTGGCATTAAACTCACACCAACATCGTTACTCTGGGTGTTCTCGAAGGACTCTCAGCCCAACGACGATAACACCTGCTCTCAGCCCTCTGTCACCCGGATGCCCGCCTTCCGAGAACCCCTGGAAGCAGGATCCAGAGGTAGATTCATAACGTCTGCAATTCTGGTGGTAATATCTACCATTTAGCAAGACATTATGCTAGTCTTCTTCTAAGTGTCATTTCAAATAGTCCTCATAGCAACTCTGTGAGACAGGTGTTCTTATCATTCTCTTTTCACAGGAAAGGAAACAGGAAACCCCGAGAGGTTAAGTGACCTGCCCAAGATCACACAGCCAGCGATTGGGAGGTTAGGATAGGAAGCAGGCCCATGGGACTCTTGTGGACATGCTTCCTAGTATCTATTCCCCTCTTCTTCCAGCCCCAGTGCCTGTGTTCATTTTGGGACCCATCCCCCCTCCCCGGACAGCCCTCATGGTCCTGGTGGGCATCGCCACCGGCCATAGGGGAGGAGCACGAGACCAGCAAGGTCCACTCCCCAGAATTCAATCATTGGTCCAGGAAACAGATAGGTCTGAGGCCAGAGAATCGGCAACGCGCAGGATGCAGCTATTTTCAGCGGGACTTGAACTTAACAATATCAGGTCTCGCTGCTCCTGGCAGCTACCTGCCTGAGAATGTTGTCAGCACAGGAGACAGAAGCAGAGTGATGAGAAGAGGGGCGCTGGCCCCCACGAAGCTCCTGTGCCCCTGTGTTCACCTCCCCGCCCCCCACACACACACCGGGCAGACACAGCCCACACTCTTCCTCCTCCGACTAAACCCAACTGAGTGAAGTTTTCTCCTCTCAAGCACAAATGAGGAATCTTGAGGACCTAACACAGAAGCCCAAGCAAGATCTGAGAAGCTCCCCCGCTACCTCTCTGGAACAAATAAAAGCCCAACAGAAGAGGAAGTCTAACATCCAAAATGCTACTGTGTGACCTCCGTGTTTCTCGATCTCGGCACTACTGACATTTTGGAACAGATAACTCTTTGGGGAGAAGGGGGCGCTGTCCTGTCATTGGAAGAAATTTCTTTACAGTGTCCCTAGCACCTGACCACCCCCACTGCCAATCGTGACTGCCATAAATGTCTCCAGACATTGCCAGCTGTCCCCTGGGGATGGAACTGCCCCCGGTTAAGAACCCCTGTGTTGGGGCGCCTGGGTGGCTCAGTCGGTTAAGTGTCGGACTCTTGAGGTCAGCTCGGGTCATGATCTTATGGTTCGAAAGTTTGAGCCCTGCATCGGGCTGCATGCTGACAGCACAGAGCCTGCTTGGGATTCTCTCTCTCTCTCTCTCTCTCTCTGCCCCTCCCCCCCACTCTCTCGCTCTCAAAATAAAGTTTTTTAAAAAAATTATTAAAAAAAGAACCCCCGTGGTAACTGACCACAAAGAAGAAGAAGAACCATCTAGATGCTCCAGGCCCAAGAGCAAGGGGAATGCACTGAGATTGGAAAGGCAGGGCACGGGAGGGGCAAGAGGGGAGTGATGATGTCTATCCCAGAGATACTTGTGGGGGCCGGGAGTTGGCGGGCGATGTAGGGGTCCCCAGCTCATGGAGTGAAGAGAAATAAATGTGGTGAGTACACCCTGAGTCAGGCAGGGTGCGGATCCAACAGGGCAGCCGGGGGGACTTCGATGATGGAATCGTGTACAAGGTATGGGCAGCATCCGGAGATACTAACAAGCGACAGCCAAGCATCATCAGATTGGCATCTGCCGGGAGCTGTCACCTCCCGGGTGCCTGAAGGAGCGACGGCAGGAAGAGGCCTCTGGACATGAGCGGTGGCCTGCTGCCGTGGGTAAGGGAATTCACCCACTGCTCCCCCAGCCCATCAGACCAAATAAACATCCCTGCCTCATCCCCTGCCTACCGTCTCATCTCCTGATGACGCTTCCTGAAGCCCAAATTCAACTGGCAGCCGGAAGATAAGAGAACCCGATAGCTACAGCTCATAGAGTTTCGCTTCCCAGAGCACTGAGCAAGGTGGAAAGTGGGTCTGGGAGTAAGTGGCAGGTGCCCAGCACACACACCACGGAGAGCTTTGCAGGGTTAGAAGCAATGGGTTGGGGTAGGGGTGGGGGCGCCTGGGTGGCCCAGTCGTTTAAGCGTCTGACTTCAGCTCAGGTCGTGATCTCACAGTTCGTGAGTTCCAGCCCCGCATCGGGCTCTGGGCTGACGGCTCAGAGCCTGGAGCCTGCTTCAGATTCTGTGTCTCCCTCTCTCTCTGTCCCTCTCCTGCTCACACTCTGTCTCTCTGTCTCTAAAATCACAAAATACAAAATACAAAGCAGCAAGACTCTTTTTACAAGGACACCTACAAAGAAAAGATTCACTTGCGGGAGTATTTGCCTATGGCAGGAGAGGAGCTACAGAATGGCAAAGGGGAATGCGGATAACAGAGAATAAACTATCATAAACAAAAGGGGGGTCTTGCGTGGACTAGAGATAACAGAACCACACGAACTAGGCATGTGATTAACTCAAATTTCTGCACAGAATGCTGAAACGGTATGGGGCGCGGGGCATAAAAGCAAAGGAAGGAGGAAGGAGGACAGGAAGGAAGCAAGCTGATCCAGGAAGGGAGCAGGTGGGTGTGAGCAGGAGCTTCCCAAGGGCGCCCCCCTCCCTGGTCCACAGGGGCCCCAGCCCAGATGGGGAAACGGCTGTCTCAGGGGGCCTCTCGGCACCTTCTCCACGTTTCTCTGAAAATGGAAGACACGTCAAGAGATTGCACAAGGTCCTCATTTCCCAAAATGATTCCAGAATTTTAAGGCCACTAAGCTTGACACCTTTGATTTTGGAATGAATTCAAGTCCCAAGACCCAAATCGAGCCTCGACTTTGCAACCAGCCAGGCGTGAATCAGCCAACAGATGGTGGGTGTGCATTTAGAAATGAGCCTGGTGAGCCCTGGGAGCTAGAGAGGCTCCCAAGACGAGGCCTGCCAAGCTCAGCCTCTTCTGCGAGGGGCTGAGGGACCAGAGGCCATGCGGGTCCCACTCTTTCAGGCTGCTGGGAGTTGTGGCAGTGGGGGCGGGGG